AAATAATTCCATTCACAATAGCATCAAAAGAATAAAATATCAAGGAATAAATTTAATCACGATGTAAAAGACCCGTATTTGGAGAACTATGAAACGCTGGAGAACGAAATTGAAGATACAGTTAAATGAAAGCATATATTCAGCTCATGGCTAAGAAGAATTAACATCATTAAAATGTCTGTACTGTCCAAAGCAACCTACAGATTCAGTACAATCCCTATCAAAATACCAATGTCATTTTTCATAGAACTAGAACAAATCCTAAAATTTTTATGGAACCACAAAAAACTTCAAATAGCCAAAGCAATCTTGAAAAAGAGCAAAATTGAAGGTATCACTCTTCCTGATATCAAACTATACTACAAGGCTATAATAATTAAAACAGTGTGGCAATGGCATAGATCACATAGATCAATGGAACAGAATAGAGAGCCCCAAAATAAATCCACACCTATACAGTGAACCAATTTATGACAAAGGAGGCAGGAACATGCAATCGAGTAACACATTTTTTTCAATAAATGGTGTTGAGAAAATGACATATACATGCAAAAAAAATGAAGCTATACCAATTTTTTACTTATATAAAGAAAAAACTCAAAGTGAATTAGACTTAAATGTGAGGCCTGTAGCCATACAACTTTTAGAAGACGATAAAGTCAGTAAACTCTTTGACATAACTTTTAGTAATACCTTTTTGGATATGTCTCCTCAGGCAAGGGACACAAAAAACAAATGGGACTACATCAAACTAAAAATATTTGCACAGAGTAGGAAACCATCAACAAAATTAAAAGACAGCCTACTGAATGGGGGAAGATATTCACCAATGATCCATCCAATAAGGGGTTAATATCCAAAATGTATAAGGAACTCATAACTTCATACAAAAAAATAAACAATCCAACAAAAAGATGTGCAGAGGACCTGAATAAACATTTCTACAAAGAGAACATGCAATATGAAAAGATACTCAATGTCACTAATCATCAGGAAAATGCAAATTAAAACCACAATGAGATATGTCTTTATACCTGTCAGAATGGCTAGCATCACTAAGTCAACAAACAAGTGCTGGCAAGGATGTGTAAATCTGTGCAACTACTGTTGAAAACACTATGGAATTTCCTCAAAAAAATTAAAAATGGAACTGCCATTGCCCAGCATTCCCACTTCTGAGGGTATATCCCAAGAAACCTGAAACAGATTCAAAAAGACATATGCATCCCTATGTTCATTGCAGCATTTACAATATCCAAGATATGGAAGCAACCTAAGTGTCCATTGATAGATGATCGTGGCTAAAGATGATTTGGTATATGTATACAATGTATTATTACTCAGCCATAAAAAAGAATGTAATCTTAACATTTGTGACAACATGGATGGACCTAGAGGGTAATATGGTAAGTGAAATAGGTCAAACTGAGAAAGACAAATATCATATTTCACTTATGTGGAATCTAAAAATACAAAATAAACATGCAAATAAAGCAGAGAGAAAAAGTCAGATACACAGAACAAATTAAAGGCTGCCAGATAAGTGAGGGATTGGGTGGGTGGGTAATAAAGGTGAAGGAATTACGAAATACAAATTGGCAATTATACAAATGGTCACAGGGATGCAAAGTACGGCATAGGAAATATAGTCAATAATATTGTTGTAACTATACTTGGTGTTAGGTGGATACTAGACTTATCAGGGTGATCATTTTGTAAGTTATATAAATATCGAATCACTATGTTGTACACCTGAACTGACAGAATATTGTATGACAACTGTAATTGAAGAAAAAATGACAGGCCTCCTGTTTACTGGCTTTGCAGTGGGCAGACCTACCATTCAGCTTCTCCACTCAACATGTTTACTACTTCAGAAGCTTTGCAAAGCCACAGCTACTCAACAGAGTACCACCACATTCAATGTTTGCCAACATTTGAGAACTTCTAAACTCTATAAAAGTTCTCAGATCTCACACGTTCATAATTATGATTTTAGAGTCAATTGAGAGATTACACAATATGAAAAAATTCATCATAAAGTGAGATCACAATAATTCCCAATATACCCCACAGCCCACAAAAATCCAAGGCTTATATATTAGGAGTTTTTTCNATTGAGAGATTACACAATATGAAAAATTCATCATCAAGTGAGATCACAATAATTCCCAATATACGCCACAGCCCACAAAAATCCAAGGCTTATATATTAGGAGCTTTTTTTTTCCCCTAGAAGTAGACACAATGTTCATAATTCTATAAGTGAAAAGTGCTATAAAAATATCTAATATTTAGAGCAGGATTTTCCAGGCCCAGCTCACACTGGCTGAACCATATTAGTTGTCTCTAAGGAAATATCATTATCTCTTTATAAGATCGAGCTATCTCTATCCCTCCTTCCCATTCCCTAGAATTCAGCAATCCCATTTCGCTTTACCCAATTACAGTTAGCAAATGCCAACTAAGAGTGGATTGCCAAAAGCTCTTTAAAAGCACTTATATTTCTTCTCCATCTCTTTCTCTGCCCTAGAAAAAAAATAGGTGAGCAAGGGGGCCCCTACTGTCATTTCAGATGAACTCCAGGTATTCCTGACATTAACATAACCCTCAATATCACTGCCACCAGACACCAGGGTGGATATACAAGCTGTCACTGCAAGTTGTCCTAAACTCTTGAGTGTTTTCTTGGTACCTTTAAATGTACCAGATTAGAGTACTCAGGACCCCATTTAATCTGAGTCCATTTTCCATACTAGAGCCTGACCCAGCCACATATGTATGTATTAATATAATGTTAAATTGAGTGTTACTCATCTAATTATGCAATAAACACCCATTGGAGAAGTGGAAAGGACTTGGGAAGCAGGAAACTGAAGGGTGAGGAGCCCTGTACAGAGGACTCTAAAGCATGGTTCTGCCTTTCAACTTCCCCGGTTGGAAACCATTTACCTGCAGTTGATGTCCATTGAGCACCTGTTGCATGTCAGCTGTCAGGGTAGGGGCACTATTAGGATCTGTGGTTTCTTTTAATAGTTTATTTAATCATTTTATCTTTTTAGCTCCTATAATTTGCTTTATACATCAAACCTTTAAAAAATATTTTTCTCCTTAAATTAGAACTTGAGCATTTTAAACTAAGACATTCTTCCAAAAACCATTTTATCAAACTCTTTTTTAATTGTAGTAAAGTTCACATATCATAAAATTCTCCATTTTAACCATTAAATGAAAGAAGCCAGATGCAAAAGTTCACACATAGTAGAATTTCATTTATGTGAANACACACAGTAGAATTCCATTTATGTGAACTATCCGCAACAGACAAATTCACAGAGGCAGGAAGTTGGTAAGTGGTTGCTGGGCAGGCTGGGGAGGGAGTGGGGAANTAACCATTAAATGAAAGAAGCCAGATGCAAAAGTTCACACATAGTAGAATTTCATTTATGTGAACTATCCGCAACAGACAAATTCACAGAGGCAGGAAGTTGGTAAGTGGTTGTTGGGCAGGCTGGGGAGGGAGTGGGGAAAGACTGCTTAGTGGGTACAGTGTCCCTTTGAGCTGATGCAAATGTTCTTGGACTAGACAGGAGTGATGGTTACACAGCCTGGTGAGTGTACTAAATGTCACTGAATTGTACACATTAAAATGTTTTTCATTTAAATTCAGAGTATAAAAATTCATATAGNCTGGTGAGTGTACTAAATGTCACTGAATTGTACACATTAAAATGTTTTTCATTTAAATTCAGAGTATAAAAATTCATACAGACNCATTTAAATTCAGAGTATAAAAATTCATATAGACACAAGAAAGTTGCTTTTACCAAGTGTCTAAGTAACGGCACGTGTAGAGAGAGCGTGTGCTGAAGAGGTTAAACACACGGGTCTGGCTGGGGGTTAGTGTTGCTTAGAATCCAGGCTCTGCCACTCATTCAGACGAGAGAGAGGTTAAGCAACCTCTCACATCCTTCTCTGTAAAGTAGCAATTATTCTAATATCTCCCTCTCAGGGTTGTTCTGGGATTTATTGAGATATCTTATGTAAAATTCCCATCAAATTAATAATAGATGTTACTGTAAAAAAAAATAGTATAGAAATTTGGAGACAGGGAGTCAGATGGCTCCCTATGAGTGAGATAACCCAAGAGAGAGTGGGGCTCTAGAGGCAGGCAAAGCAAAGACAGAGGAAGAAGGGAATCAGTACTAGGGCAGCAGGTGGCATAACTCAAACTATAAATACTCATAAACATGCACTGAGACTCGCCCATACTGGGAACCAAAGAGTGTAAGAAGGAAGGTTGTTTTGCNAACTATAAATACTCATAAACATGCACTGAGACTCGCCCATACTGGGAACCGAAGAGTGTAAGAAGGGAGGTTGTTTTGCCTGGGGTNTACTGGGAACCAAAGAGTGTAAGAAGGAAGGTTGTTTTGCCTGGGGTGTGGCTGTGGGAACTGGGAATGGTACTTAATTTCAGCTTCTTTCTCTGAGAAGGCATAGCAGCCCTTCCTGACCTTGCAAAGCTGGTGGCCTCAGGTAAAACCAGGTGAGAAGAGTGCAGACTTGGTTTAATTTCCCTGACATACTCCAGTGACTTGGCAGCTAAATGTCAGGTTTAAGGCCAGAGCTGAAGTACTTTTACTTAAAAACAAGACCAGGGTAAGGCACCAGGGTCTGGCTACTCCGGCAGCTTGTGATGTTAAACATCTGTGACGTGAGGTTGCAGTAGCTTAGGAGTTACTGAGCAGCAGATGGTCACATCACCATGTATAAACAATAATAGGAAAGTAGCCCTCTACCAAGTTCATTGTTTCCATCAAACCGTTTTTAAGATTTTGAAAGCACTATGGCTTCTAAAAACAGCATTAAAGTATAGAAGTCCAGAGAAAATAATCTTTTGTCACTTAACTGCTTGAATTTCTAAACCTCACAGTTGTGTTTGGCAGATGAAACAGAGCTCTGTGAACTTTGTCTCAGGAATCCTTTTCCCTTTGCAGCAAGAAGCCAAAACCACATCAAAGCACACCTCCCCAGCAGAAGCCTCTGACCTTAGCCTACGATGGAGACCTAGACATGTAACCCGGAAAAGAAATCCAAATGTAGACATCAACTGCCTTAACTGCTTTCTCTTTTGTAGCTCTGACTTCTCAGTTTTTTGAGGAATCTCACAGTGTGATGTATTAGGCAGAACACAAATACTGCAAACGTAATATCGCCTCAACTTCATTTGGACATGGAGTCAAGGATTATTTGGTCTGCCATTTTTATTTCAAGTTGTTTGTGGGTGTGAGTGTTTAATTTTTTGATTTTCCCAAGGGACCTGAAAACCCTTCTCTTCCTGTTTGGAAGTGCGGGGAAGAAAACATGATGGGATTCCCCCAGACTTGAGTAAACTGTATCTTCAGCAGCATGATGACAATCCGGAAGAAAACCCAACCAAGGCATTTACTGTAAATGGCGAGTTTGACACTGCATCCTTACGCACTATATTAGTGCAGGTCTTTATTCTTCCCATACTTCAACGCTGAGTTTTCTAGAGTTTACATTAGTTCAAAGACTTTCAAATTGGATTGACTATTTTCATGAACACAGAGAATGGGTTGCCATTTCAGAAATTCTCTGAGTTTTTACCTTTAAATATTGTATTTTGCTTTGTAGCCAGGGGATGATGGCACTTCGTGGATTGCATCTATTGAAAGAAACAGAGTGTGTGTAATTGGTGAACTAGATGAAAGCTAGGTGGTTTCTAAATGAGATTTGTACTGAACGTTAGGGTGTACAAACGAAATAAGTGGTTATATTGGAGAATGAGGTGATTTGATTACTAAAACTGCATTTTAACAAAAAGTTAGCAACGTAGCTATAGAATTAATCACACAGTTGTAATTCAGTTTAATGACAAACTCTGCTTTTGTAATTTCAATTTTCTTATCCAAATATTTATAAATTCTTTTTTTGAATTTAATTATCTGACCTCATTTAATATACATCAAACGCCGATCCTGTTTATAGCAAGTCTTGCTTTTATAAGGTTTCAAAGATATCTAAAACACATTAAAAAGCTGAAACCATTTTATGAAGATAATTGTTTGTAATCGTGGATGTTGAAAGTAAGAAGGTGCCATCTTGTGGTATTGACTTGTATTTATAACAAATAAAGTGCTCAAGAGACTGAGAAGTTGGCTGTTCTAGATTCATTCGTTTCCGAAGTGCCCTTACTTTGACAGAAACACGTCTAATAACAGTTTCCCTGTTTCACAGTTTTAGAGGTTGACAGCTGAAATCACTGACAGAGGAAAGGAATCTTACCCCAGTTCTCAACTCTATCTAGCAAACTGAAACAGAGTCCACCACAATTATACCTAGAAGCTTTTAAGGAATATTTATGGCTCAGTCAATATTAGAACAAACAACTATAATGAGGCAAATGCTGACATGTAAATGACCTGAGAGACCTCAGAAAATGGGAATGTTAGAAATGTTTTACAATGAGCAAGACAGAGAATGTTTGTATTTATAATATGGCTTCTGTTAACCATTTAACACTTACATGGTTAGAGCAAAAGAGTAAAAAGATAACATCTTCTGTCAATAGTGTGGTTGAGGAAACAACTCCTAGAGTTGTCCTTTTATTAGTTCACTTTAGCTAAAGTTTCAATACTGTTTATAGTAGTTCAAGAGATCCTGTTTTGGAGTTCAAAACCTGACTGTGCCCTTTACCCCATAGGTGATACTTACCCCACGAGAATAGCAAACTATCTGTTCCCCTGTTGTTTGACCCACAAAATAAAAATAATAAAATTATTTTCCTCCTAAGATAGACAATCCATGTAAAATGGAATTCCAGTTCAAGGTGGCAAAGTAGGAGGATCTGTATTAACCTCCCACAGACACCAAGTATACGCTATATATGGAACAATTCCCTCTGAAAGAAATCCAAAAACTATCTGAGCAACTCTTACACTTCAGACAAATGAGGAATAATACACATTGAAACAAAAAAGGCTGAGACACGATCTCTCCCTAAATCCCCCACTCAGCAAGCCAATCCATAACTGGAAGGGAACTCACAACCCCCGTTATTCTCTGAGGAGCAAATGGTTTGAACCCAATATCTGGCAACTCAAGTTTTCAGACCTGCACCTGAAATATGACACCCCAAAACACCTAGCTTTGCAAGCCAAAGGGGCTAGTATCAAAAGATCCACTAGGCTACAGCAAACTGAGAAATAATGCTTAAAGGGCACAAATGGACTCACTCAGCCACCCCTGCATCCAGGGCACAGCTCAGAAGCAGCTGACAGAAACACCCAGTTTTTCTATGAAAGAGGCTTATTAACATCTTCAGAGCCATAGCCTGAGGGGTAGACTTCTAATTAAACACATATCTAGAAGCCTGACTGTAATCCTCATCAGAGACCAGAGAGACTGGTGGGTACTATCTTTGGCTCTCCCTCTGCCCTACCCTAAGTCAGTAGTACCCACAAGAAAGGAGCTTGGGCATACATCTGGCAATCTGGCTTTTGTGGCTGGCATCCTTTGATAGCTTAGCTCTGGTGAACAGAGGAACTTATGTTCATGAGTTTAGAGGAATAGTAGCAAACAAATAAACAGTTCTTAACTAGTTATCACCCTGCCACTCAGTGCAGAGGGGACAGAAATGCCTGTTCCCTAGTATTCCCCTGAAATAGGCCTAATTGGATACTTTAAAGGCTGCTGCCTGAGGATCTGATGTCCAGTCAGCCTAAATCTAGGTGATGATTTAGATCCTACCCACCTTAGGACGCTGACAGACGTTGAAACACTGTCAACTACCGGGAACCATTAAGTACAGAGTAAGCTGCTGTCTTCTTAGGAAAATAACAAAAGTACATGCAGACAAACAAGAGAGCTAGGGTAGATTATAAAAATAAATAAATAATAAATAAATAAATAGTTCATCTCCTACAAAAGCCACTCCTTTAAGACTGGACGAGGCAAATGTTTCATCTCCTACATAGACACCCACACACAGAGACAAAGAAAATAAAGAAATGTGTTTCATATGAAAAAATAAAATGTCATAAAAATACCTTAATGAAACATAGAAAAGTGATTTACCTGATAAAGACTTTATAATGATGGTCATGAAGATGCCTACTGAGGCCAGGAGAACAATCATGAACAAAGGGAGAATTTCAACAGAGAGAAAATAAAAGAAAGCATCTAACAGAATCATAGAGCTGAAGAAGACAATAGCTAAACTGAAAAATACAATAGAGGAGTTCATTAGAAGACTAGATAAAGTAGAAAAAAGAATCAGCGAACTTGAAGACAGGGTAGAGAAATTCATCCCATCAGAGCAGCAAAAATAAAATAATGAAAAAGTAAAGACAGTTTGAGGAACTTATGGGAAAACACAAAGTGGACCAATATTTGCATTTAGGGATCCTAGATGGAAAAGAGAAAAAGAATGGGAGAAAAATATTTGAAGAAATAATGGATAAAAACTTTCAGAACCAGAGGAAGTTAATAGATATGCAGATTCAGGAAGTGCAGAGTATTACAAATTTCCAAATGAAACAAACCCAAAGAGATCCAACCCAAAACACATAATTAAGTTGTCAAAAGTTAAAGACAAAGAGAATCTTAAAATCAGCAAGGAAAAAACAATTGGTTATATACAAGGGAGCTCCAATAAACTCTCTGTGATTTCTCAGCAGAAACTTTTGGGGACAAAAGGCAATAGCAGGATGTATTCAAAGTTCTGAAAACAACAAACCAGCCAAACAATAATACTCCACTTGACAAAATTGCCCTTCAGAATTGAATGAGAGCTAGAGTTTTCCATACAAGCAAAATCTGAAGGATTTCACAACTACTAAAACTGCCTTGAAGAAATGTCAAAATGGCCTGGCTGGCATGGCTCAGTGGTTGAGCACAGACCTATGATACAGGAGATCCCAGATGGGTTCCTGGTCAGGGCACCTGCCCAGTTTGCAGGCTCAATCCCCTGCAGGGGGCATGCAGGAGGCAGCCAATCACTGACTCTCTCTCATCACTGATGTTTCTCTTCCTCTCCCTCTGAAATTAATAAAAACATAATAAAAACAAAAGAAATGTAAAATTGACTTCTTTAAGCTGAAACAAAAGGGTGCTAAATAGGAAAAGGGAAACAAGAAAGTATAAATCTCACTGGTAAAGGTAAAGATACAGTAAAATACAAAATAATCTAAATCCATAAAGGTGGTAGGTTAATCACTTACAAAGCTAGCTTGAATGTTAAAAGACATAAGTAGTAAAAGCAACTATAAAAACAAAGATTTTAGAATGGATACAGAAGATAAAAAATAAGTAAATCATGATATCAAAAATAAAACATGGGGTGAGAATAAAAACATAAGCTTTAGAATGCATTCAAACTGAAGTTATCAACTTAAAATTGACAGTTATAAATGATTTTTTTTATTAGTGTCATGGTAACCAAAAAGTCAAACTCTATAGTAGATATGCAAAACATAAAGAGAAGGGAATCTAAATCATACCACTATAGAAAATCATCAAATAACAAAGGAAGAAAGTGAGGGGGGGAAATGAACAGAGGAACTACCAAACAGCTAGAAAGCAATTAATAAAATGGTGACAAGAACCATAACTATCAATAATTACTTTAAATGTAAATGGACTAAACTTAATCAAAAGATGGAATGGCTGAGTAAATTTTTTTTAAAAAGACCCAAACATATGCTGCCTACAAAAGACTCTCTTCAGATATAAGGCCTCACAGTGACTGTAAGAGCGGAGTTGGAATAAAGATGTTTTATGCAAATGGAAACTTAAAGAAAAAACAAGTGTATATCTGCTTATATCAGACAAACTAGACATTAGAACAAAGACTGTAATAAGAGACGAAGGAGGGTTTTTATTTAATGCTAAGGGAGTCATTCAATAAGATGACATAGCCCGGCCGGGCGTGGCTCAGTGGTTGAGCATCGACCTAGGATCCAGGAGATTGGGGTTCGATTCCCGGTCAGGGCACATGCCCGGGTTGTGGGCTTGATCCCCAGTTGGGGCCATGCAGGAGGCAGCTGATCAATGACTCTCTCATCATTGATGTTTCTCTCTCTCTTTCTCCCTTTCTCTCTCTGAAATCAGTAAAGATATATTTTAAAAAAAAAAGAAAAAAGGTGACATAACATTTGTAAATATTTATGCACCTAACATAGGAGCACCTAAATATATAAATCAAATATTAATGGACCTAAAAAAATAGACAGAATCATAATAACTGTGGGGGACTTTTATACTCCACTTACATCAATGGACAGATTATCCAGACAGAAGATCAATAAGGAAAATATGGTCTTAATATGTTTGACCAAATGAACTTAATAAATATTTATAGAAAAGCAGAATACACATTCTTCTCACACTGGCCATTCTCCAGAATAATCATGTTAGGCCACAAATCAAGCAAGCCTCAATAAATTAAAGATTTAATCATAACAAAGCATCTATTCAAACCACAGGGATATAAGACCAGAAATCAATTACAAGAAGAAAACTGGAAAAAACAAGCACATGAAAACTAAAAGAACATGCTACCAAACAACCAATGGGTCAATGAAAAAATATATACATATATGCATATATATATTTATAAATTTATATGTAATATAAATTTACATATAATTTATATCTAATATATTTGGTATATAATTTATAGAAATTTATATTATATATATATGTGTGTGTGTATATATATATATAGAGAGAGAGAGAGAGAGAGAGGGAGGGAGGGACAGACAAATGGAAAGTGGGAAAGCAACTTTCCAAAATCTTGATAATGCAGTAAATGCATTTCTAAAGGGGAAATTCATAGCGATACTGGCTACCTCAAGAAACAAGGAAAATTCCAAATAAACAATCTAACTTTACAACTTAGTGAACTGGAAAATAAGAACAAACAAAATTCAAAATGATCAGAAGGAAGGAAATAATAAAGATCAGAGTAGAAACAAAGTAGAAATTAAAACAACAATGGAAAGGATTACTGAAGCTAAGCTCTCATTCTTTGGAAATAAGCAAACTTGGTAAACCTTTAGCAAAACTCATCAAGAAAAAGAAGGCCCAAATAAATAACCATAAATAAAAGAGAAGTTACAACTGACAATATAAATTCAAAGGATCATAAAAAAA